CCCCCCCGGGGGGGCCCCCCCGCGCAGGCGACAACCGGCCGCTCCCCTCACTGTCGGGTGAGCTAACTTGCCGCTTCCTGAGGCGGCCTCTGCAGAGGGGCAAGCTGTAGGTGGGGCAGGAATAGCTTTGGCTTATTCGAGAGGTCGGTGCATTTGGCGAAACGCGCTGCTTTGGCTGCATCATACAATGGTGCACCTTGGATAGCTGCAGAAGGGAAAAGGTGCCTACCTGTGAAGTGAAGAGGTGTTTTGTGCTGCTGCTGCCTGTACAAAAGAAAATGGACAGAAAAGCTTCCAGTTTTCTAACCTGCAAGTGCCTGTAGCTACCTGTAGTCCTGGTAAAACCGGTCAAAAGCTCATCCAGGCTTTTGCCAAAGAAGAGCCTGGGCCAGGTCCTCTGACAGCACTCACAAGCGCTGTTAGTGCCCGGGAGGTTCACTCTTGTACTTCTTGGTCCTTTTTGTGACTTTATAGAGTGTGACGTAACTACTGTGTCAAAAAAGTGAGTAGCTGAGATTCAAATGTGAGTGTATTTCTCAAGCTAGTGAACAGTAGTGCAAAGTTTGCTCGGTAAGCACTGTAGGTGGCACAGTCCCACAACTTATGGGAGAACTTGTAAACCTGCCTGAAGTCCCTCTGGCTTAATGCTAATGAAGCCTTTTAGAAACCTCTTTGAAAACCTTGGATCATTTTGCAAAAGAGGACTGCTAATGGTGACTGTTGTTTTCCAGGCACAGTATTATGGCTCAATAGCAGGAGGATGTAAATATGTGAGTATATGTAGGTTCACTGCTAGAAAACAACGGCTCTCTTCAATGGTCGCTCTTGCTCCAGGATTTTCTGTCCTATTAAAAGCATCCCAAAGCATAATTTGTTGGCTCCTAAACATTCATTTAGCATTATCTAGGATATAATCTATGTTGGAAGAAATACAAAGTATTTTAAATAATATTCTGTTCTGAAGTAAATTGCAAGCTGGCTTGCATAGATCTTAAAGCAAAACCTTAGTACCTAAATTGGTAATGAAGCAGCAAGATAATTTTTTGATCTATTAGCCTTCATTTGCTAATCTTGACGTAGTTCTGTTAGCCTGCAAAAGGGAACCTTATTATAGATACAAGGGTTGTTTTGTCAGTGCTGTAGCACAAAATTGTTAAAGCAGCTATAAATACTTAAATACAACATCGTAAGTTTTCGGATTTCCTAGCAGCCAAAATCTACTTCAGTTTCAATCTGAAGCCAACCAACAAAAACTAACTAGCAAAATCTGTGTGATGTTATTGGTGGTTGCCTGAAATTCTCATCTGCCACCACACATCTGTTGTATGTACTCGTTAAGTCAGGGTTTAAATTCTAAGCATCTTTAGGGAAGTGTTGTGCTGGTAAGTGGGTTAGGGTGCTGGTAAGTGGTGTAAGGCTTAAGGGTAAGCAGTAGTTCCATGCAGGAGATGCAAGTCGCAGCTGGCTGTGTTGCCTGTCAGAGTTTCTGTTCCCTGAATAATCACTTTTACTATGTGGAAAACAGTACTTCTGGTGGGGAAGGAATTAGGAATTTGTCTGGGTTTGCTAAGGCATTATACTTTTCAAGTACCTCTTTGTTGTTGCTGGGGGTGTTTGTTTTGTTTGTAATGTCTTTGTAATGCTGGCACTGGTTGGAAACCAGGAGGTAGGACTTTCAGGTGAAAAGTACCCGTCCTCCCTTCTACACTGGGCATCACATTACAAAACAAGTAACTATTTGAACAATTAAACATAAGAAGTTTAATTTCTTTTGTGTGTAACAGTGTGGGTTAGCTCACAGTCCAGCTAATACTAAGTAATGGAATCTGTCTGGAATTTTTTTTTTCTTTTTTGAACTTAACCATCTCTTTTTGCATGAGTTGTAGAATTGTAGTATTTTAAGTTACCCTATACCTGTCCTGTTTAGCTAAGCTTAGTAAGAGATTAGGAAGTTAGTAATGAGGACTTTCTCACAAAAACCTAATTTCTTTGGGAACCAAGGTGAAAAATAAAACCCACGTTGACATTGTAAAAAGTTACTGTAGCTCATTACAACCAATTATATAACCAGTGTCTTGGGAATTCAGAATTTAAAACCACTGTCACGGAACACGAAAGTCTGTTTTGCTTTGGGGTTACACATTGCCATTTTGTTATAGTATTTGATTTACTGAAAAAACCCAATATTTTGGTAGTACAATTCTCATGGATTGTGTAGGGTTTTGCTTTTGACATTGGCCTGAAGAAGGGCAGCTCGTTAATTTTATGTTCTGTAAAAGCTGTTGAAATGATAATGGACCAGGAAGATATTGTGGAAGAACAGTTGATTTGATCTGGCAGGAAGTCACATAAACATATCTTGATAGCACTCTTAGTTTAGTAACGGAAGCTGACAAATTTAAGTTCTTTTTTTCATGGAATTTTGAAAGCCTTTAAAAAAGGAGCAGTAGAAAGGAATGAGGAAGGGACAGTGAGGTCAGTGAAGTTGGAAAGGCGAGATGATGGAGAAAAGAGAAAGAACATTGAAAGGATGATCCGAAGACATAAGCCCTGAATTAAACTTATCTTTTTTTGTTCACAGTGAAGGAATTAAACACACTCTCGCTCTAATGTGTATTTTGTTATAATATGTTATCTTTTTATAATATTATAGAATATATATGGATTACAAAATACAGATTTTAAATATGTATTTCAAAACATCATAAGAAGAGGTTGCAAATCACCAATGTGGCAAACAATTTGAATGCTAAGGGGAAAAAGGAAATGGTCTATTTGAGGAGAGACAAAGAACAG